TCCTCAACTAGACTCTGGGGAGACAGCCTTGAGTTGAGCTGGTCATACCATGCACAGGCCTGCCTCCAGCTCTTTGCTCTCACAGGTCTCCTTCCTGGCCCATTTCCCTCCTTATTGAAGCCCATCCTTGAAGGTCTAGCTCAAGTTCTCTCTCTTCTCTGAAGCATCCCTTTATACCCTAAGGAATCACCCTTTCCCAGAGAACTTCCTGTTGGGGACATCAGTTCACTTGGGGGCTAGCAGGTGTCAACACATTCCCACCTGGATTGACATTCATCTTTTCAGGAACATGCCCAACCCCTCACCCCACTGGGATGAGGGGCACAGTTATAGGTCTTTCTCTTTTCAGATTTGCATTGCCCACACAGATGCCCTTTGGGCCTCTTGATATTGATGAAGGCTTTCAGGAAAGCTGCCTCTCCCATTTGTGCAAACACACTGGATAATTCTAACTCAATGAGGGTTTGGAAAGGAGTAAAATACCGAGAGGGAACTGGATACACTGCAACTGTCCACATGGCTGGAGCCTGAGAGACTGAAATCCATTCTCACTAGGAGACAGCAGAGCACAGAGTCAGACAGTGCTGTGTCTAAATCTCTGCCGGCCACTTACTGACTGGGTGGGTGGTCTTGGACAAGTCACCTGGCCTGAGCTTCAGTTTCCTCATATGCAAATGAGGGCTAATTTGACCTCTCAGGGTTGTAAGGATTGAATGAGACAGGAAGAGCAAAGCACATGGCATAGTGTTGGCACATGGTGAGAGTTCAATTAGGGTCTGCCACAGAGCCTCTCCCTTCTGCCAAGTGAAGTATTAATTTTCCACTAAGCTGTAAACACAGGTAAAAAAAAAGGGATTCCCCTGCCATGTTCATGACCATTCTCCCAATGCTTAGAACTTGGGACATGGTCAGCATACAGTAAACATCTGCTGGGTGCATGAATTAATGAATTTCAGTGGGATGTAGCAGAGGTGGCACGGTGGTAAGCCAGCTTAGAAACCTACATGGATCCCAGGAAACCCAGCTAACAGAACTAAGCAGTCTCTTCTTTGTTCAGTGTTTGCCTTTGAAGTCATGATTCCTATAACCCAGAAACCTGAGCAAGTCATTCAAACTGCTCCTCCTTCTTCTCCCACCATTCCTCTCTGCAACTGGAGCAAGGTTCACGTGTGAGAGACAGATGTTCTGAAAAGTCTGGGTAGCCAGATCAATCTAAGGCATCACTGGTACCTTGCCTGCTCCTGCCCACATGCCCTGCCCAAGGGATTTTCTGCAGCCTGAGAGGTGGAACATTGGAAAAAAGAGGGAGATGGGGCTGGGCTAGGCAGAAGCTAGAAGGAGCCAGTACTCCAGTCATTAACAAACCTTACAATTCTGAGCCTCAGTTTCCTAATCTGTGAGAAGAGAAGCTTAAATCCATCTTGCAGCATGCATGAGGACTATGAAGCAGCTAGCAGCTGATCCATACAGTCCGGGCTATTGAAAAAAAACAAAAAGCCCAGCTATGATTTTAGCGAAGGAGCAATCTTAGATTATTTAAAGAGAACTTGTGTGGAAGGATTGTTCGATGAAGGGTCTCATCACCCACATTGAACAGGGCAGCTCTCCTGTGCCCATCATCTTGTCCAAGGCATTAGGATTTTAGGGAGGTGCTCATCGGTTCCTACTCTAAAAGGGTTTTCCTGCTAAACAAACAGAAGTTTCAGAAGCACTTCAGTCAGTGATCTTGCAGGTTGCTTCCAGCTCTAACGTTCTCTGCATTTAAAAAGCAAACACTAGCACAATCTCTGAAGAAAAACTCCAGTTTGCACCTGGAGAGGGGAGGGGATGGAATTTATGGCTGGGGGTGAGGTGGCTGGGGAGAAGGGGCTGGGCAGCCTGCACAGGGCAGAGCCCTTAACTGCACTGCCTGGGTCTGAGAAGGAGCCCTACAGTGCCCCAGCCCCCACCCTGAGCCCAGGACCTAGGGAGGGAAGGTAAGTAGATAGAGTAGTCACACCAACACGCGCGGGTACATGCCCCGCAGTCAGGGCTGCAGAAGCCTGAACCAGAGAGCCAGCCCCCCTATTCCACCCACCTGCTGACTAGCTGCTGCAAAAGCAGAACCCGCAGGGCCTGGGTTTGGGCCCTTGGGCTAGCGCTAACTGGGCCTGCCCACCCATTACTCTTCGCGGAGAATTTTCCAAGACTGAATGAGGCAGGTCCAAGAAACACTCTTCCCAAACCTCCACCCCAAATCTTGGTGCCCCCTCTCTCCCGAGCCACTGCACAGGCACAGTGCAGGACTTCCTTCCCAGAAGTGTCCAGGCCGTGTAAACTGGAGCCCGGCAAGCTGAAATCGCCTCAGGACGCTCCTGGGTGATCTGGGGCAGAGAAATGTGGGTTTCCCCTACGGGATTCAGATACCGGGGAGGAGGAGCCGGGGTAAGCACTTTCGCCCAGCCGGTCCAGTGTGCAGCGAACTCCTTTCTCTTCCCAATACACAGAACCACCTCTCCCCAGTTGAGCCCCTTTGTTCTGCGACCCGCAGGGGCAGAGCAGGTGAGGGCGCACAGGCGCTGCGCCTACCTACTAGTGGCCGTCATCGCCCCAGCCTGGGCAGGAGTGTCTCGGAACGCCAGCTCCGGATTCCACACTCCCCTCCCTCCGAAGCAGCCCTGGCAGCGGCCGGGCGAAGCCAATTGCCGGGTTCGCCACTCCTGGTCACCTCCGGGAAGGGCGCCCTCCTCCGGCCAGCTGGTCTCTTGCATCTCGCTTGGGCCCTTCTCGTACACCCGCCCCTCTGGGGCACTGGGTGGGAGGGGGAAGGGGAGGGGAGGGGAGGGGAGGGGCCGGGCCCAGGAGGGGCCCAGCCTCGTGCATTCGTCTCCTCCGCGGAGAAGACAGTGCTCCCCGGCGGCCCGGGAGCCGCCGCGCCCCGGGCTCGGGAAGTTTCCCTTCCGCGATCCGGGTCGGCGCTCCTCCTTAACCCTGAGCAACAGAGCTTAGAGACCACGCCGGCTCCCTGGGCCCAGAGGCGGTCAGCACCGGCGCCCAAGCCCCCCGCCTCCTGCAGCCTGCAGAGGCGGGCGAGGGAAGCCGAGGCGCCAGGAAGCCGGGTCAGATCTCCGAGGCCTGCAGCCGGACGAATGCTGTTCGCAGATTCCGGGGAGAGCTTGCAGGGTGGGGTCCCGACGAAGCAGGGTTTCCCACCAAAGCCTTTTCCATCACTCTCCATCCCTGCCGCGTCTCTCCGTTCTGCGCATTCCGGGGGGAAAGAGTGCTCCCCTCCTGACCCTAACTCCCAACCCCCGCTCCCCGCAGTGTCCAGGTGAGGGCTCCAGTGCCTTTCAACAAAGCCCTGTGCCCTCTCCGTGGCGCTGGAGCAGGGACCCTCCCACCCCACCCCACCCCCGCCAACCTCAATATAACCTTTCCCTCTAGAGGCATCCAAGGGAGGGAGCCTTCACCCCAAGTTGGGTGGGGGGAGATTTTGATCCACTTTGGAAAGTCTCTTGCTCTAAGGGTAGGGGGACAAAGTACAGGCCTGTATTCCTTCTGGATTACACCAACCCCTCCCTCTTCTCTGACAGCAAGACCACCATTCAGGTCAAAATTCTGCAGCTTCTTCTATCCGCAAACCCAGCGCTCTCCAAGGGCCTCGGGGCTGAAGGAGGTCGGGTTGTTTTAGGGGGACACCCCTGCCTGGTGGGCACTCTGTGAGTGTGGCTAGACACCTGCCCATAGGGCAAAGCACACGGCAGAGGACAGAGTTGACTCCCATCTCCCTCACCCAGTTGGGCTAGGGGCTGAGACCCTGCTGGCCGCAATGGCTACATTTTGGGGACCCCGTGTCTCCCTCCTCCGCGGCGGAGCCAGGCTGTGACTGCAGGCGGGCTGGTCCTGGGCGCCCAGGTTTGGCACTAGTCTTCCAGGGAATCAGGGAACGGGTCCTCTAGTCTTCGCTCCCGCGGCTCTTCGCTGGCCCGGCACCCCTCCGGCCCCGCTCGGAGCCTAAATGCCGGCTCACTGCCGGAAAGGCGCGGGGGTCCCAGGTTCGACTTCCACACCATTTAAGACCCACCAGGCGGCGGCGCCGGGAGGGAAGCACCGAGACCGCAGCGAACCCGGAACCCTGGCTCCGCGAAGCCACGAATAGCTCTCTCTAGGGACCCCGCTCAGCCTCAACCTCCCAGCCGGAATGAAGTCCGTGCGGGACACAAACACAGCGCTGCTCACACCTCCTCAGACCCCGGACACGTCCATACCTCCATCCCCGCTAAAACCACACGCTCCACTGCACGCAACACCCCCGGCCGACGAAGCACCACGGCCCCCACGCGCCTGTACCTCCACACTTCCCAAATACGCACACTCCTCCCCAAGTGCCACATTCTCACTTCCTATGCACACACGCTCCCGCCCACCCCACCCCACCCCCCGCCCAGAAATGTAGTCACCCGCTGTCCCACACCCCTAAAGAGACCCGCACACTTGGGACACCCGTTAAATACCTCACCTCACACGCTCAGCCTTTAACACGCTCACACACATAACGACGCAAAGCTCACACACTTCACACCCTCATCGAGAAGCTGGCACCCACTCACACCCCCAAACACTCTCGCTCACACTCTTTCTTACACACCTTTTCCATGTAACTGACACAAACACTCAACACCCCTCCAGACACTGGATCGCTCACACACCATCACACACACTCACATCTCTAAATACAGTCCCGCACCCTTTCCGCACACAGCTCCTTCACACACACACACACACACACACACACACACACACACACACACCCCACACACATCCTGGCACAGACCCAAGAGCGCTCTCTCCAGAGAAGACATCCTTCCTCCCTCGCCAAGCCCACCAGCTCACAGACCAACCGGCCAGGACCAGGGATCGGAGCCCGAGCCTCTCCGCAGCGACCGCGGCCCGTGTCCGCCCCGCCGGCCCGCCCCCACGCGCACCCCCGCCGGGCTCCGGCCAGGTGCCCGCGCACTCACCGCGCGCCAGGTCCAGGATCGCGGCGAGCAGCAGGCAGGCGCAGCCGCCAAGGCTCGGGGCGGCTCGCATGGTGCCCGGGGGCTGGCGGCGGTGGCGGCGGCGGCGGCGGGTCCCCTCGCCATGGGCTCAGGCGCGCTCCTGCCTCCAGCCGCCGGCCAAGACGGCCGCGGGCAGCGCGGGGCGCCGCGGGGGCGCCCTCATGCCGCCGCCGCCGGGTCGCCTGGCTCGACTCTGCTGGAGCTCCGCCGGGCGCCGCGACCCTGCGCTCCGGACGTCCTCCGGGCGCGCCGCGGCTCCCGGCTTCCCGGCTGCGCGCAGCGCCCACCGCGGCCCGGAGTCGGCGCGGCTGCCGCCCGGGAGTTTGCAGCCGACCCGCGCTCTCCGCCTCGCGCTCGCCTCTCCCGGCGGCGCGGGCGCCCCTCCCCGCGCCTCCCCCGGCCCCTCCCCTCCTCCCGCCCCCCGCCCGCCCCGCCTCCCCGCCCTCCGCACCCTCCGCACCCTCCCCTCTCCGCGCTCTCGGCTGTATTATACAGACTTTTCTTTAATCCTTTCTGGGCTGTTTGGCTCTCGTCCGCTAAGCCGATTTATTGCGGGGAGAAGGAGAACTCACCTCCTCCCGGTCCCCCGCCCCCTCCTCCCGGCCTCCCACACTCTCCCCTCCCAGGGGCCGCCTGCTCACCCACACCTCCGTGGCCGGTTCCTCACCCTTCCCTAGCCGACTGAGCACCCCTGCCCTCCAGAATCTAAACTCCATCCGACGGGCCTCCACCTAATCCCATCCTGGGGCTCACCCTCCCCCGCGACGAAGGAGGGCAGGCGGGATGTGGCCCCGGACGACTGGCTTTGCCACCTAGGAATGCCCTTAGTTGGAAGGACAGGGGCATCAGTCTTCTGAAACTTCCCAAATTATGGATGTCCCGCCCCCCCCCCCAGAAACCCACGAAAATGGATTTTTTTTCCCTTTCTTCCAAGAAAAGCCACATTCTTGGATCCAGCCAGGAAGGGGTAAAGAAATGGTTGTTTCCTCCTGGCTGAGACCACGTTTTCACCTATTCAGCAGGCCTGACACCTTTTCTCCCCAGCCCTGAGGACTGGGGGCTGGGACTCCTACCTTGCCTTTATCCTCCCAACACCCTGCCATTGCGCCTCAGGCCCATCTGCAGGCCTTGGGGCCTCCTGGGAGGGGAGGTACTCCAGCCCTTGGGGTGGGCGGGAGTGAGTTTAGATGGGAAAATTCAGAGCTTAGCATTTCACCCCTGGCAGGGACTCTGGAGACTGGCAAGCTGAGGCCCAGCAAGGCCAGCAGTGCCAGGGCAGAACTGGGTTCAGAATCTAGGTCTCTGGGCTCTTGACCCAATGTTCTTTCTTCGGCATTCTATGGAGAATTCCCAGCTTCTCTAACTCTGTCAGGTTGCTACTTAAGGCTTTTGCTCTGTTTACCTAGACAGGCAATGGGTACATAATTCCATCTCCAGCAGCCCTTTGAGGGGGTGTAGGGAGTGGGTTGGGCAGTGAGTGGTTGCTAAGCTGTCTCCTGGCGACCCTGTGCAAAGATGCTCCAGGGGTGGAGAGCTGCTCCCACCATCTGCCCTCTCCCAGCCTCACTACAGAGCTTCCTAAAGCAGTCTTGCCGCAGCTCACGCCCGCCCACCCACCCTAGGGAAGAAGCTATTTGCATTTATGAAGATCTGAAAGCATACGTTCACCTGACAGGCTTTAGAATGATCCTCTCAGTAAAATAATAATAATGATCGTAATAAACCCTTATAAATAGGTGTTTGATTACAGTTTGTCCCTACGTGGATATTTTTTTTTTTTTTTTGAATCAGACTAATTGGCTGCCAGGCTGATTGGGCTGGATACGGCTTGAACACTAGAGACTTAGACCCTTACTTCTCCCTTTGGCTGGCTGCTCTTTGCTCCCTCTCACCCCCGTCCATGCAGGTCTCCCCTTCTCCAAGTTGCAGAAGGTCAGCTTCAGGTCACCTCTGCCCCACACCCTCTTTTTGGACTGACCCAGCCATACTATGTACCTCCCTCTGCACCTCCCTCTCCCCAGCTCTGGCCTAGGAAAAAGCCAGCAGAACCCAAATCCATCGCAGGGGCTAAGCCCTTTGAGAACGAGTCTTCCTGGCTGGGGAAGAGCATCAAGCCAGGAGGAACCTCATGTTGGCATTACTGCAGATAAATGCCAGGCATCACACTGTGGGCCTTACCCGCTCTGTGGGCCCAGCTGTGAATCAGAGTGCAGCCAGGCTGGTGGACAGGTGACAGTTTGCTAGGTGAAACCCTGAGTAGGGAGGTTTCACAGCAGCCCAGCCACCAGAAAGGAGATCCAGGTATCAGGTGGATCCCAGCCACCCCTCCCCACCCTGATGATACTTCCTCTCAGCCCTTGGCCATACCAGCTGGGAAAGAAATCCCTAGGGAGTGGTAGGAAAGGGGTAGGAATGTTGCCTCCGTTATATCAGCTGTGAATGACACCTGGTGAGAGGCTAGCAAGGAGGAAAGGAGGCCTGATAGTCAGGGAGGGTTGCCTCCTAGGGCCAAGGGTTGGGCTGGAATTGAAGTCCTCAGTGAACCCTCTTTCAGCTGTGGGACTTCTGAATCATCCCCGCTCTCTTTTAACATCACCCTGAATTATAATTTTTGGTCTTCCTAGCCAGTGCCTGGTACATAGTAGGTCCTCAATAAATATTTGTTGGATAGATGGATCATGAAAGAATGAATAAGGGCAAGGTACTTTGTCATACCTACTTGATTCCTCAGCTCGTAGCAAAGGCTGGCACTTGGAAGGTTCTAGCAGGCATCCTGCGGCAGTGAACCTTTTCAGAGGACAAGCAGCCCCCTGGATCTTGTGTTTAAAGAAAGGACATGCTGCCCAGGTGCACAGCTGGTTCCCCCAAAGCGGCTGGGCTCATGTGTGTTTATTACCATATGGTAATTGTTCACAGTAATACTGCTCTCTCTTCACACCCTCTCTGCCTCCTCCTCCTGCTCCTGTTTCATAAAACACAGCTTCGGAGCCTTTTCTTTTGCACCGGAGAATGGCGTCTCCAGAGCACGGAGAGGCACGGTTAGCAGATGACATGGGGTAACTTAGCCAAAGGAAAAGTCACCCAGGGTGGCCACAGACTTTTAACTAGGGTCCTGTCTCCTAATGGATCAGCTGCCAGCAGCAGGGCCCCTACCTTGCGGTCCTGGCACTCAGACTCCCGAGTCACGTGGGACAAGCCTCCTTCTTGGGCACCTGGCTTAGCAGGAGCCTGACCTGAGTTGGGGTGTCTGCCCCCCCACCAACCTCTGTCCATGGTTCTGAGCTAGGCTCTCCCAACAGAGGGCGCTACAGCACAAAGCAAATTCTCTTCTCCTGACCCTAGGGAACACCCCCTAAGGTCAAAGGGGCCCTCTGTGACCCCTAATATGTTTATTTGCAGAAGAGGGGAGGAGTTGGTATATTATTACCTCCCCAAGGCTGGCTTCCAAGGTGGTGGGCTCTGCTGGTTTGGGGAAGGACAGCCTGTGGCATTTGATAGTAATAGTAAAAGTAGTAAACACTTAAGAAAGTGCTTCTCTCATGCCAGGCACAGTTAAAATAGTCAATGTGTGTAAACTCATTGACTCACCACAATTACATATGAGGTGGGTACTATCATTATTCCTATTTTAGAGATGAGAAAACTGAGGTGCAGACAGGATAAGCAATTGGCCCAGTACACAGTAACAGAACCAGATTTGAACCCAGGAAAAGGCCAGAGCTCTTAAATGCCCTTTTAGGCCAAGATACACATGTGCACATGTGATGTGTGTGTGTGCGTGTACACACACATGCACACACACACACACACACACACACACCCTGGAAGCCAGTATTTGGATAGGAAATGAGACGTATAAAAAAAACAAAACCTTCATTAGCCCAGGGTGTTCTACCTCTTTCATCTCATTTAATCTTTGTAAAAGCCCTCTGAGGAGCTTTATTTATGCCAAATTTACAGAAAGGTAAACTGAGTCTGGGAAAAGTGAGAAAAATTACCCAAAATGGTCAAGTAGAGGAATGCCGAGTCCTGGGGACAGGGCCCTAGTGTGGGCCTTCCCCAGGCTCTCCCCAGAGATCCGCAAGTTCTTTCTCTCCCTCCCCCTCTGTCCCTTGCCCGCACACACATCCACAGCACACTCAGTCATGAAGTCCTCTGGCTCCTTACTGCCTTGCCCTCTGCATCTCTGTGCTAGGAATTAAATACCCACCAAGCTGCATCCCAGACAGGACTGAGTGTTTTTATTGTTTGCTTAAATTAAACACAACTGAAAGTGACACCTGAACACCAGTGACCCAAATCGATTCGGAATCGACCACTTGAAATTAAGTCTAACACTGCGTCCTTAATGGACCTCAACCCCACCTGGCCTCTCAGGCTCCAGCTGAAGCACATCTTCGCACAGGAGGGCCAGCAGGTGTTCCCTGGGGAATCTGAGGCTGGGGGTTGCTGAATGGGCCTCAGCATTACAGACCCAGAGAACGGAGCTGGGCTGTATGAAGGAGTCGGACAGGACGTTAAGCCCGGAGACCAACGGGGCAGAGAGAAGCAGGACAACACTGGAGACCAACATCCTCCAGACTGGGTCCCTCCAACCATTTGTCTTGCAGGTTTATAATAAACATTCCTTGAAAGAAGATTCATGGTTAAATATATCTGAGAAAGGCTGCATATTAGGCCATTCCCCACCTCTTGGAGATTTACAATTCACATGAGCATATTAAAGTCTAGGAGAAATTCTGTAGTGTTTTTCAGTAGTATTTACTTGAAACCCAAACTTGTTTGTCCTCAGAACCCTCTTTGCATAAATACCTATTAACATCTTTTGTAAGAGTTCAGTATATGATGCGATCGATGGGAGATGCTGCTCGGACCCTTAGACAAGCCTCTTGATGTCCTCCTGGATTAAGTAGCAGTCGCAATAATAGTAATATAAGAAGAAAAATAAGAGCAACAGTAAAGCCACTGCCATTGATGATGCTCATTAAGTGCTTACTATGTGCCAGGGACTGTTCTAAGTGTTTTGCTTGTACCAATTCATCGACTCCTCTCCATCACCCTATGAGACAGAATAAACAAAGAAACTGAGGCACCGAGAGGGGAAGCCCCTTGCCTAAGGTCACAGTGCTTTTATGTATTTCTGAGACTGTAAGCAACATGAGGATACAGACAACAGCTGATTCATCTCTGTATTACTTGTGTCTAGCAGGTGATAAGTACTCAAGAAAGGGATGGATGGATGGATGGATGGATGGATGGAAAGATGGATGGGGGAGAGAATGATTGGAAAGATAGATGAACGGATGTGAGAATTATTGAATGGATGGATGGGTGGGTGGATGGATGGATGGATGGATGGTGGGTGGATGGTG